AGGACTGCATAAATCATTTAGCTCCAAACAGTTCCAGGCTCATTCCGTATGTTCCCTGCGAAAAGCTAATGTTTTTCAGTAGTTTGTAAGTGGAATTTTAATTCTTTGATTAGCCTAAATTTGTAAACACGCATCTCAGGTTTGTACTTGCGAAATCCCCATCTCGAATTTGGTTTTGCATTTGAATCGATGGCTCGCAGAACACAGCGAGACAACATGAACACCTGCCGAGGCCCACCTACGTAAACACACCCCGTCACTCTCTACCAGACTCAAACAGCCTTTGATGCCAGGGATGGCGGCGATGCCAAACGCTCATTTTCAATTTCTGCTCTGTAACTTCGTGATGACACGGGGGTTTCGAGAATTATGAGAAACTGCCTCCGGGCGTCAATAAAAAAAAAAATATTTGCATATAAAGCTGGCTTCCTGCTCTGAGCTCACAGCTCTCTGCACATTAACAGCCAGAGAGGACTCCCAGCATGCAATGAGCCTGTCCCAAAACTTCACTTTGTTTTGAAGGACATGTTGTTTAATTGTGATACAGCTGTGGCATTTGCGGTACATTAAATTCCTTAAATCCATTTTATTAGCTAATGAAATAAATGCTGGTTTTCCTTATTTTGAGAGACGACGAGAGTGAATTCCAAGTATTTAATTACATCACAATTACAGAAGCACTCGGCAGAGAGTATAGACAGGATCAATTTTAGTTTAGTTTGAGAACATCTGACGTAAAATGAAGCCCACTCTGCTTTTTCCGGTCTCCTCCCCCTCGCAGACCAAGTCCGAAATAGCTACCAGTTCTGCTACAATGGCTCGTTGCAAGTGATGTACGCCAACGGGATGGGCATGAGCTTCCACACGGAGCCTCACGTCCTCGTCGGAGCCGTCAGCCCCACCATCGGGCGTCGTAACATCACGCTGCCCACCGACAACGGCCTCAACTCCATCGAGTGGAGGCTCCGTAAGGAGCAGGCTAAGGGCAAAGTCACCGTGTTTGGCCGGAAACTGCGGGTGAGTAGGGCGGGTTAATCTTGGCACAGCTCCACTGATCGCTCTACGGAGGGCTCCACATCTCTGGGTATTATTGTGGCGCTGGTTTGATGACTAGTCCTTCTGTTTAGAGGCAATGAGGTATCCAGTAATGAGTTGGGGTTCCCTCCGCAAACTCCACAGGCTCACGGAAGGAACCTGCTCTCGATAGACTTCGACCGGAACACCCGCACAGAGAAGATCTATGATGACCACCGCAAGTTCATGCTGCGCGTCATGTACGACGTGCAGGGCCGGCCGGCCATGTGGCTGCCCAGCAGCAGTCTGGCCGTGGTCAACGTGTCCTATGCACCCAACGGCCAGCTCCTAGGCCTGCAGCGGGGCAGCATGAGCGAGAAGAAGGAGTTTGACTCCCTTGGACGCATCATCTCACGCTCCTTTGTAGACGGGAAGGTGTGGAGCTTCAGCTACTTGGACAAGGCAAGTTTTAGCTGTTAGTCTTTACAAAGCCTTGACTAGCTGGTATGTGAACATCTCAGCTATGATGATGATGTCTCCCTGCTATTTTTTTTTTTGCAGTCCATGGTGTTGCTTCTTCAAACCCAGAGGCAGTATGTCTTTGAGTTTGACACCTCTGGTTTCATCACTTCCGTCACCATGCCCAGCATTGCTCGGCACACCATGTCCACCCACGTCTCCATCGGCTACATCCGCAACATTTACAATCCACCAGAAAGCAATGCCTCTGTCATCCATGACTTCAGCCAAGATGGACGGCCGCGGGCCACCTTCTTCTTAGGCACCGGCAGGAGAGTCCTTTACAAGTACGGCAAGCTAGGCAAGCTGTCTGAGGTTCTGTATGACAGCACAGCTGTCACCTTTGGCTACGACGACACCTCTGGTGTGCTCAAGATGGTCAGCCTGCAGAGCGGCGGCTATTCCTGCACCATCCGCTATCGCAAGATGGGCCCGCTCATTGACAAGCAGATCTACCGCTTCTCCGAGGAAGGGATGGTGAACGCCCGCTTCGACTACACGTACCACGACAACAGCTTCCGGGTTGCCAGCATGAAGCCCGTCATCAGCGAGATGCCACTCCCGGTGGACCTGTATCGCTACGACGAGATCTCGGGCAAGATCGAGCACTTTGGCAAGTTCGGCGTCATTTATTATGACATCAACCAGATCATCACCACAGCCGTGATGACGCTCACTAAGCACTTTGACACTCACGGGCGCATCAAGGAGGTGCAGTATGAGATCTTCCGCTCCCTCATGTACTGGATGACTGTCCAGTACGACAGCGTGGGCCGCGTCATCAAGCGGGAGCTCAAGATCGGCCCGTACGCCAACACCACGCAGTACCGCTACGAGTACGATGGCGACGGCCAGCTCAGCGGCGTGAAGGTCAACAACTGGTCGGCATGGCGCTACAGTTATGACCTCAATGGCAACCTGCACCTCTTGAACCCTGGGAACAGTGCTCGCCTGCTGCCTCTGCGCTACGACCTGCGGGACCGCATCACACGCTTGGGCGACGTGCAATACCACATAGACGAGGACGGCTTCCTCAACCAGCGCGGCACGGACTTCTTCGACTACAACTCCAAAGGGCTGCTGGTACGAGCCTACAGCCGAGCCTCTGGGGGTTGGCGGGTCCAGTACAGCTATGATGGGCTGGGCAGACGCGTGTCCAGCAAGTCCAGCCTGGGCCAGCACCTGCAGTTCTTCTACGCAGACCTAAACGACCCGACACGCGTCACCCACATGTTCAACCACTCCAGCTCGGAGATCACCTCGCTCTACTACGACCTGCAAGGCCATCTGTTCGCCATGGAAGTGAGCAGTGGGGAGGAGTACTACATCGCCTCGGACAACACCGGCACACCCCTCGCCGTCTTCAGCAGCAACGGGCAGATGGTCAAGCAGCTCCAGTACACGGCTTACGGCGAGATCTACCACGACTCCAATCCTGAGTTCCAGCTAGTGGTGGGCTTCCACGGGGGGCTGTACGACCCTCTCACCAAGCTAGTGCACTTCACCCAGCGGGACTACGACGTGCTGGCGGGCCGGTGGACTGCACCAGACTATACCCTCTGGTCGAAGATTGGCAAGGAACCAGCTCCTGTTAACCTCTACATGTTCAAGAACAACAACCCGCTGAGTGACGTGCTGGACATCAAGAACTACGTCACAGGTACCGTGGGGGGCATCAGTCCACTTGTAAAAGTAGCTTCTGATACACACTCACTACTGTGGCTATATTTTGCTTAATTACTTGTTTGAATAATGAATTAATAATGCATTATAAAAATTATATTCATGTACCATTTCAATAGGCAATGTCTTTATATAGTGCCTGGTAATGGACAATTTATTCTTTGGGAAATCTGCATATTGTGCATATTCTTACTCATGTGGTCGTGCTCGGTGTGAGAGCTTATCTCCATTTAAGGATGTTCTCACGCCTCTCACCAGCATCGCGATTATCTCATATTACAAATATGTTGTAGATAAGAGCTGTAATCAGCATCTGAGGAGGGTCTGAGCAGCCTTCCCCTGTCTGTGTGTGGTCCTGTATGTATTACATCATGGGGACCAGATGTCCCCACAATGTGATTTAAAAAAACAAAACCTGTCTTTCCGGTTCTGAGAAGGGGAAACTCAGTTTTATAAAGATTTGTGACTGCAATCAAGAAACTGAAAATGGCAAAAGTCTTGTATTTTCTTTGGTTAGTTAGGGTTAAGGTTACGGCTGAGTAGGGGTTAGGGTGTGTGTGTGTGTGTGTGTGTGTGTGTCCCCAGCTCCTCCTGCTGGCCACCTCTCGCCCTCACGTCCCCACCCGTCTCCTCCCCTTCCCAGATGTGAAGAGCTGGCTCGTCATGTTCGGCTTCAAGCTCAGCAACATCATCCCCGGCTTCCCCGCACACACCTCCTACTTCGTGGAGCCGCCCTTCGAGCTCCTGGCCGCTCAGGAGTGCGAGAATGCTCAGGTGAGTCCCGTACCCGGGGAAGCTCCAGAGGGCCGTGTAGTAAGATGCCATTGAAGATGGTCTTCAAATGTATGTACTGGTGTTAGATGCTATATGTACCAGGGGAGTGTGGCATGTGCTGTATCCTGAGCTATGTGCTCCTCAGGACCAGTGATGCCTCACCTCTGCATGTGTCCCTCTCTCCCTGTCTCTCTGCCCCCACACTCCCCTCTCCTCCATCCTCTATCTTTTTCTGCCCATGTACTCATTCTCCTCTTTCTCCCCACTCCATCCAATCCCCCGCTACACCCTAACTCCCCCATCCTCCAACCATACTCCCACCTCCTCCACCCCTCATTGTCCGTATTCCCCCTCCTAAACCCCTCCTCCGCCCACGCTCCCCTCCCCCGCAGCTGATCACAGGCGTGGAGCAGGCCGCAGACCGACACAACAGAGCCTTCATGGCGCTGGAGGGGCGGCTGCTGAACAAAGTCCGGCGGACCAAGCAGGACCAGCCGGGTCACTGGTATGGCACCAGCGCGCCCATCACAGGCCGGGGGGTCATGCTGGCAGTGAAGGACGGCAACGTGATCACGGGCGTGTCCAGCGTGGCCAGCGAGGACGGCCGCAAGGTGGCGCAGGTGCTCAGCGGCGCCACCTACCTGGAGGGCACACACTACACACAGGACGGCTGCGACTGGCACTTCTTCATCAAGGTGGGCTCGGTGGACGGGGACCTGCTGGCGCTGGGGCTGGCCAATGGGCACAAGACCCTGGAGAGCGGCGTCAACGTGACGGTGAGTGGCCGGTCCCGGCGCGGGGCCACAGTGGAGCTCCGCACCGGGGCACTGTGCCTCAGCATGCGCTACGGGCTGGCGGCAGACGTGGCGGACAAGGAGCGCACGCGCCTGCTGGAGACGGCCCGCCAGAGGGCGCTGTCGCAGGCGTGGACGCGCGAGCAGCAGCGCGCCCGCGAGGGCAAGGAGGGCACGCGCCTGTGGACAGACGGGGAGAGGCAGCAGCTCCTGAGCGCGGGGAAGGTGCAAGGCTACGACGGCTACTACGTGCTGCCCGCGGAGCAGTACCCTGAGCTGGCCGACAGCAGCAGCAACATCCAGTTTCTGCGACAGAACGAGATGGGCAGGAGGTAACAGAGCACAAGCCAGCCGTACTTTACTCTCCTAAGGAGAAGAGGCGCAGGCACTCTGACAGCTGCAGGGACTTTTCAAAAGGGAAAAAAAATAATAATAATAATCATAAATAAATGAATAAATAAAATTCACTGGCTACCACAGGCAAACACAAATTACAACCACGAAAAGCAAACTTGTAGGCAAAGCATTTGGGAAGCACTGAGGTGTGGAAAACAAACAGGACAAAAACTTTTTCAAAAAAAAAGGGGGAAAAAAAAAAACCTTTTTTTAAGAAACTATTTTTGCCCCTTTTCGGGGGTTTTGGGAAGCGAGAGGCAGTGGGTGAGATGCCTTGACGGATCTCCAGGACGATGGGACAATAATGGACCAAGCGCAGAACGAGGTGAGGCCTGGATTGGTCTGGAGGAACAAAAAAAAAAAAAAGTGGAAAAAAAACATCACAAAACACGTGACTTAATCTGAAGGAGCAACAATCAGTGTCATTTTTAAAAGCATCTGACCGGGTCTGAAGGTCCAGAGGGCGCCCATCAAAGCGGGGGGGTCGGTCTGAAAAACCGCAAACGACATTAAAGTTGCGGGGGTTGGTGTGCTAGTGAACCGTGTTACTATCTTAAGGATCAGTACCACTGCCCACAACTATAAATCACGGTCAACTCTCACAAAAAAAAGAAAAACCACACTACTTTGAAGTCTGTCTAAAAAGATTCACTGCAAAAACATTTTTTAACTTTAAATATTCAAAATTGTGGCTATATTTGCAGTCAAATTTACCATAAATGGTTTTCTTCTTTTTGCCTTTGGTGAAGGTGCAATGGTCATTACTTGAGCACTTAATGTACAGTTTAACCCGGAAATAAATCCTCAATGAAGAAAGAAGTAATAAGAACCATTTATTTTTTTTATGTTTACTGACAGCTATTTATTGTTTTGTGTTCTTCGTACTCTATGACAATCATTAAAGAGTCGCTTATATTATTTAATGACCTCGTGGACATATGAGTTTTTTTGTTTTGTTTTATTTTCTGGGACGCACAGATTCATGACAGTCTGCCTTTATTTTAATTTCCTGCCAGGCAAATTAGTCACAAACAAAAAAAAAAAATATGTAAAGTGTTTTGAAATCGTTTATACTTTCAATAAAGTCTTTGAAACTGTGAAACCTGTTTTTCTAAATATAACTGTATGTAAGTGTGTAGCTATCTATACACTACACTGTAGAACACTTTTCAAGCTATCGAGTTTTGTGCACTGATGATTTCTGACAGGAGCTGGTTTATTATGGGATGTCCAACCAATAGCTGCCATTACTACTATAAAAATGTGACGTTTACTTCCAATAAACAAAATATTAAACGTTGCAGTTTGTTTCTTTGAACTGAGGTTATCTACATACTGTATGTTGCTGATTAAACTTGGGGGACACGATCATAAATAACATTTTAACGAGGCGGATGTTTACATTGGTTGAGATTAAGCACTATGCGGTTTTCCTGTCCTGCATCATTAGCACCTGGCATACAGAAAATGCCGGAAGGGATTCAGAAGTGCAGCGAGGTTTTGCCACACATTCCAGAGATGTTTACTTGCAGTGCAGTAGAACTATTGCTGTAGGTGCTTTCAACCGTTCACAATAAATGCCCATCAGGCAAAACAGCAACAAGATCTTCAGATATCTTTGGAGAATTAAATTGGCCCTCAGGACTGAACGAGAGGGGATTTTTAGTTCGTAGGAATTCATGGACAAAAGTGACAAAGTGATATCGGCTTGCTAAGCCAGTTCCCCCCCAGAAGATGGTGCACTAAGCCACCTCTGTTGCATAATAGGCACTGACAGGAGGAGTGTAAGAATGGAAAGGGCGTCTCGACACGGGGTTAGCAGTCAGTCACATCAGCTGGGGGGGGGGGGGCGGGAGAATCCACTGAGGTCTGTAACTGGGTGGGAAAGAAAACCATCAATCTTGTAGAAAGTACTGAGCTACCAGCATAAACAGCCAAAAGAAGAGAATATGTATCAGACTGAAATGATGGGAGGTGATAGATTACGCATCCTTTGTCATTCTAATTTTATCAGATCATTTATCAAATACACCAGGCGACACGATGGCGCGGTGGTTAGTACCATCACCTCACACCTCTGGGACCAGGGTTCAAGGCCTCTGCAGGTCCCCCCCGTGTCATAGTCCCAACAGTCCAAAAACATGGTTTGGCTAATTGAAGTTACCAAACTGTGAATGGTGTGTATGGCCTGCCTTGGCTCCCCATCCTGGGTCGTTCCCTTCCTTGCACTTCCGGATCCACCCACAACCCTGAATAGGACAAGCGGTTTCAGAAAATGGATGGATTTTATCAAATGCTTTCAAAATCCCCTGGTACAAATCCCCCACCACCGACCAACAAAAGGGTATGATGTTGCTGAGACAATCATGTTTGGAAGAATATTTAATGAAGAAACAATTGCGAGCAGATTCCAACAGAAAAGTCCCGTAAGATACATTGGTTGAATTTTGTCAGCCAAGTTAAAAGTACACTGATTTTTGACTGGAGTGGCTTAATGGAATACAGGTTTAACTACAGGTTCATTTCAGTTATGTGTTTTACATGTATTTTCACCAGTGTTTTCAGAAGTAAAAAAATAACAGTTTTCGATTCGCACAAACAAGGCAAAGCGTGTTGCACGTAGACCAAAAACAGTCAAGGATTATTTAACTGTACCATACATTCTTCTTAGTCACCTTAAAAATACTGATCAAACACATTCTTTCTGCTCAACTCCTATCTGCAATAATCCCAGATTACGATACAACAGCTCTTTTCACGCCAGATTTCTCGGGAACCTCAGTGTACCATCTAGGGTCCAACAAAGTCAAATACGAAGATGCCTTTTGTAAAGCTTCCAGGCTTGATTTCGGTAACTTGTGCAATTAATCAGAAACATCTGCAGCCTGGATAATAAGCCGTTATTAATGATTAATTATGATTGACGCTAATCACGCTGACTAGAGTGACAATTTCTCTCCGCCTTACACAGCTGGTAGCTAATTTATACCGATTTCCATTGGTACTGTCGAAACTGTAATTCCTGCATCTCAAACAGCATAACGCGTCTTTGCTAGTTTGTGCTTTGTTCTTCCAGTGCGACAGATACGTTTATTTCACTGAGTGTGTGCAGCACAAGACAACTAGCTTCTCGGCCGACAACGAACACCAAGTTTCTCAACAGCTGTAGGCTGACCTTTAAACACTTAACCACGTCACTGCCTGAGTTGGACCCGGGGCACAGAAAACAACGTAATTCTACCTACTAAGGAAAACGGAGGCCCCCCCTCTCAGTCCAGGCCCCTGTTTTTGTGGAAACTAAGGCGGTTCAGTAGTAGCTGGAGCCACAGCCAACGATGCAAAAACAAATAAATTTACAAATCCACACAAATCACGACTGATTTGCTCATTGAAATGAAAGAGGAAGAAAATAGGAGCTGAACACTTTCAAGAAAACCAGGAATCGGAGGCCACCGGCGTCAGGGCGAGTCTCGCCGCTGTGGTCCCGAGGACGTGCGTGTCACCGCCACTGGCTGGCCCCTCAGTGGAAGACGGTTTGGCGCCAGCGCTTGTCGTACAGGAAGGGCCAGAGACTGTCGCGCACGGCCACCTTGAAGGGCGTCGGCTCCACCCCCAGGCCCAGCGACTCGAGCCGTGAGCACTCCAGCTGGGCATTGTGGGGTCGCTGGGCGCCTGCCCCCGCAGGCTGCTCCGTCAGCTACGGGAAGTGGCGGGAAGGGCAGGGAGAACAGAGTGACAGCAACAATGCAGAGCACCTCCTAAAGTCAAGGATACATGCAGGACCAGGGAACTACAGGGCACAGAAACTACAGGGCACCCGACCTAACGGGCACAGGAACTACAGGGCACAGAAACTACAGGGCACCAGAACTAACGGGCACAGGAACTACAGGGCACAGGATCTACAGGGCACCTGAACTAACGGGCACAGGAACTACATCTCTAACCTCCAAGCTGCCTGCTGCCCCAGGTACAGGAATACAAATTACGTAACGTACACCAGCGCCAGGCAGTCCATGCGGCACGGAAACACATGAGCAGACTGGACCATCGTGTTAAATTCAAATGTGACACACTGTCTAACAATGCACACAGGGAAACGTGAACTAACATCTAATTAATGTCTCCATTCACGGCGCCATCAAAGAGTTTGGATCTGGAAGGACGTTGCCAGAAATATACCGTAAGATTAAGGCAAGTGGTGGATACTTACAGACTGCTTCATTATTTGACAATGAAAAAAACACTCTTTCAATCACAAGCGCTATGTCACATGACTCGGGGGGGGTGTGTCTCTCACCGGTATCAGGTGACTGCTGGGCAGGTTGAAGGCGTCCGCAATCGCACAGGCCATCTCATACTTGGTCATTTGCTCATTGCCTGAGTAGTGGAAGATCCCTCGGAGGGAGGGGTCCTGGGTGGGGGGCAGGAAAAGAAGGTTTACTAAGCAATTAAATGCAAGTATACAGTTTTTTATGTGTCATATTAATTGCACTCTATTACGAGTAATAGTACTCCTAGTCAATATGTTCAAAAGTTAAACTTCCAAACGTGATTGGTTTTGGAGTCGGGTTATTTGTGGGTGGGGGCTTGGGGCTTACTTGTAGCCTCCGCTCGGCCATGAGCCGGCAGACGCGTGCCACGTCGTTGACGTAGGTGGGGAATCGCTGCTGGCAGTGGTCCACGGTGCAGCTCTCGCCCCCCTGCTGCACGCGGTCCCACAGAACCGTCACGGCGCTCTCGTCCACACGCTCCACCTCACCGTACAGGACGGGAACCCGCAGCACTGCCACGCCTGGGTGGAGGGTCACACAGACATAAATACAACACTGATAAACATAATACTGTATTACGCAGTCCGACTTACCGACAGATCGGACTTACGAATGGACTGGCATACAGCCCGTTATATAAAAAATTTGTGGCCTACTTTATTAAATACGACGGTCTACTTCGTGACACTCATGAAAATACTACGTGGTTTCAGTGGTTAATCAGCTCGAGGTACAGATCAGTACCGTTTATAGCTACTTTCATTATTACTGTACAAATACTATAATTACTATTGCTATGCAATATGCACTGTTATTTTCCCGACTTAAAGACAGACTTGGATCTTGTTTATAACCTGGGAATGACCTGTATTCATTATATAATGTAATAATATGCTATGCACACGCACGCACGCACACACACACACACACACACACACAGACACACAGACACAGGAGGCTGTATGACTAGATTTGGTGAATTTACAATCGACTTGCTATAGTCCCAGCAAGGACAGATGATGAAGATGAGGATGATGATGGTAGTAGAGTATCTCACAAGCACCTGGGTTGTGGCTCAAGACCTCGCGTTCGCCCTCCAGCTTGGACTTGCCATACAAATTCAGGGGATTGGGGGCGTCGTTCTCCCCGTAGGGGGGGTTGCGGCCATCGAACACGTAGTCTGTGCTGATGTAGATGAGGAATATACCGGCTGGCGGCATGGAAAAAAAAAAAAGAAAAACAGACCACAAGATATGGTCAAAAGTAGGATTTTCAGTCAGAATACAGGGAGTGATCGACAGTCAACTATCCTTATATTTCTCTATGCACAAAAGTTTAATTAAGAATCACGTTAATATTTGCTGTTCTTAAATAGCCGATTCTAAGTTACATAGTTCGCCACCATAATCAGTAGATCACACAGTGACCACTAGGGGGCAGACAGAACAGATGAGTCACCAGCCACGAACGAGAAGAAAAGGCGGCTGTTTGCTCCCACCCACCCGACTCTTTCGCCAGCGTCGCCGACGCGTGGATGTTTAGGTTCATGGCTGCCTCTGTGTGCCGCTCGACAACGTCTGGCCTCCGTTCAGCGGCACAGTGAACGATCACATGTGGCTGGGGGGGGTGATCACAAGAGAAAACATCTGGCGCACTGACAGCCACCCACAACAAGCAACAATCACTGCTAACATTAATATTGATTATTTGCTTCTGCTAATAACAATCATCCTCATCAAGAAGCAGCGGAAAGCCTCAATGGGCAGCAATAATCATTCATTCATTCATCCATCCATCCATCCATCTTCTGTACCCGCTTCTCCTGTTCAGCGTCGTGACGGTCCGGATCCTGTCCCAGAAACTTAGGGCACAAGGCAAGGAATAACCCAGGATGGGGTGCCAACCCATCACAGAACACCTTAACCCCTACCCAGCCCTAACCTTAACCACAACTAACCAAACAAAATACGAGACCTTGGGCATTGTTAGTTGTTTGGTTACAGTCACAGATTTTTATAACACTGAGGTCATCCTCGTGGGGACCGAAAAATATCCCCACAAGGTAAAAAGTTACAGGTTTTTACCACATTGTGGGGACGTCCGGTCCCTACAATATAATATAAATGTGACCACATACAGACACACAGATCATTCATACACACATTCACAGATAGCACAACAGCTGCAACCTCAGCATGTCTTTGGACTGTGGGGGGAAACCGGAGTACCTGGAGGAAACCCCACGACGACACGAGGAGAACATGCAAACTCCACACACACGGAGCCAGAGAAAAGGGTAACATTATTTCCTTATACAATTCAGATTACAATACAATGCAGATTTATATAACATTTCTCACAACACAGTTGCTCCAAAGCACTTGACAAGAGTGTGTGGCACTATATTATTAGCTCGTAGCTCTGGGCTAAGGACTCCTACTCATCTGCGTGTGGAACTTGCATGTTCCCCCCGTGTCGTGCTCATTTCCTCCCACAGTTGAAAGACGGGCATTCAGGCAAACGAAAATCTCACTATTTACAAAGTGTGTTATGCCCTACAATAGACAGGGACCCATCTCACGGTGTACCCAGACCTCGCACCCTGTGCCGTAACAGACAGGCTGCAGATTCCCTGTACCCCAAACAGGACAAGAGATTTGAAGATGGATGGGTGGGTGGATTGATGGATGGACGGATGGGTTACCTGAAATTCATGAATAACCTCTCGCACAGCATCTTCGTCCATCAGATTGCACTTGAGGAATCGTGGCTGAGCCCGGCTGTATCCGGACCCCAAAACGTGCCAGTGGTTGTTCTGGAACTCTTTGCAGACAGCCCGCCCCAGCAGTCCCGTTGCCCCGGTTACCAGAACTCGCCGGAATGGCACGTCCACGCTCTCCTGAGGACAGAAACATGGGCGGAAAACTGTCATATCTGGCTCTTATTCATACTCAAGGAGCAGTTTTAAGTGTTTACGGGTAACTCCGGGCATAGTTACGGTTGGCCTTGAACACATTCTACTGTGACAAAGAGAATTTCAAGCAGGCCACTTTTATCGAAAGAAAGAAAAAATAACAGGAACAATCAATTGAAATATGACACAAACAAATGTGCTAGATAATTTAGTTAGGTCAATAGCAAGCAGTACTACTATCAGATATTAATATAATTTATAAAATCCAGTACCCCAGTTTAAAAATGCAGATCTCTTTTATGGGTATACAAGAACTGCATTTTGAAAAAAGGGGTAAATATGTCTTTGAACAGCAATTTATTTTAAATGTCAACATTCACTTCGCTAAAACGAGCAGTGCTTTAACAGCGCTTATGATCATGACAATGAGCTGATAAAACGGTTATTAAAAGGTATTTTAATTTTTTATGTAATTTCTTAAATTGTTAATAGTTTTTCTAATTAAATATTAAATACAAAACATTAGGAAGAATGCGAACCAAAACTAAAATAATTAGACACCTCCAAATTTTAGAGATTGCAGAATTTTATTCAGCTGTTGCTCCAGTTACTTATTTAATTGTCCAATGTATGACATTTGTAACATTCTTTGATTGCTCATAAACAGCACCGCCTACATTCGTGTAGTAATTTTTAAAGCGTAGTGCCAAAAATGCTAGATGTTTCCACAATTTCGCTCCGTAGTTTATATTCTCCTTTGATGTGCCATACTACTGTATATGTCCGGGTCCTTTTCGGAAATGATGTCTTAAGCATTTTCAAAAGTCATTTAGCGTTCAAGTGACACCAAACGTACCCAACCCCTCCCTTACCGCCCAATTACCATGACACTTTACTGACTAAGAATTATTCAGCTCATAATGCCGGGTAACACTCAGAGCCGGTTTTTAACAGTTTCCCCTCACTAACCTGTTTAGTCGGAAACTTTATTTGCCGTTTTTATTTCTGACCATCCTTCCCCTGCACCTAACCCAGGACAGCCATTACAGAGCGTGACCTACAGCATTGCGCAACGCCGCGTTTGCGCGCATCTGCACGCCTCCAAGGAGAAATTAGGGAACTAATGTCTTTATTTTTTCTAAACAACTGGGACAGTTTAAGGTGTCAACAGTCTACGGTCTTTTAAGACAACTGGGTTTTAAGGCAGCCTGTGTACTCCGTGTATGACGTTGCTGGCATTTGATGAAACAACGAAATAAACGTTACAATGAAATAAGCTACCGTATAGCAACGTTTACAGGAATAACATAATAGCAGCAGCAGCAGCACGCAGCAATAATCATAAACACTACACAATGAACCAAAATCGGAAACTTAACCGGGAAATAATTTATTATTAATATCCATTAATAATTTATTAAAAATATTATTAAAGGGTACACGGCAGCTCGTTTGCAATGTCTGTGTTACATCTCTTTTGATCACAGTCGGGAGCCAATGACAGGGTGGTGTGATCGATACATTTCACGTCACGACACCATCAAATTCACATTGAAGCGCTGCCATCTTTACAAATACGTATATTTACGCTTATACACACATTGCACGGTTCTGTGGGAGAACTTTTTTTCTGCCAGCCCAGCTGACCCCGATAACCCCCCAAAAAGACTCTTGAAGGGCCGACTGCACGGCTGGATGGACAGAGGACACTTCATCTGCTACGAATCCGACCATAAACGCGTAACCACGCGAGAAACGCCTCCCGCTCCCATGCACCCGCCGACAGGGGTAATGTGCACCGGCCAGGAGCCTTTAAAACAGCCGCCCGATTCCCTAAGCAGCATAAATAACGCAGTCAGGGGGACTAAAGCGCTAGAGAGAATAATATCACTCACATATCTTAATTAATGGATCCACCTTACTCATGCTGCATTATCTACAAGGTCCTGCGCAGACAGTTCTAGCAGAATGGACATTAATACTCAGAATCAGAATCAGAATCAGAAAAACTTTAATTATCCCGGAGGAATACTGTTGTGCTTCATACGCAAACATAAAGATGCACTTACTCTAAAACAGAGCCTCGGGAATTAAATAATTGTATATATGGACAAAACAAGGAGCTAGCAAGCTAGGCAGTAAAACGGAAGCGTGCTATTTAACAGCAACTTGTAACTCATGTTGTGTATACCTGTAACAGTTCTACATGTCCGGGGGTGAAATGTATCTTCAGCTCCCTGTCTCTGCCGTTCATTTCTCCGCGTTAATAGCGCTCGGATGGGAAACAACGGCGTAACGGGCGCAGCGCAGCTGGCGGACCTCGGCCTCCACGCCGCTTCCTGTCGCTGCACAGCTTGCGTATCCCGCGTATCCCGGCCTCCATACCGCTTCTCGTCGTTGCGCAGCTTGCGTACCCCAGCCTCCAGGTCGCTTCTAGTCGCTGCGCAGCTTGCGTACCCCAGCCTCTACGCTGTTTCCTGTCGCTGCGCAGCTTGCGTACCCCAGCCTCAAGGCCGCTTCCTGTCGCTGCGCACCTTGCGTATCTCAGCCTCCACGCCGCTTCTTGTCGCTGCGCAGCTTGCGTACCCCAGCCTCAAGGCCGCTTCCTGCCACTGCGCAGCTTGCGGAGCTCCCGCAGCCTCGCCGCAAAGCATGTCGGACGCGCTGTCCATTACTGCGGTCCGGCTTTTACTGCGCCCCCCCCCCTGAAAAACCTATTAAGATACACTGTGGCTGTGCATTTTATTAAATCCGACCATAAGCACAATAAGAAACGCACCGGTTCTGTGAAAATTGCAGTAATCGAGGATAAAAATTGTCCCACTAAAGTTGCTCGCTCTGCATTTGCCGAGGGATTGTAATATGTATTATGAATGACAGCATATAGACGCCGGTTTAACACTACTACAAAGTGCGCCCGGCTTTCACAATGACAGAAAACGCAACTGTAATTTGTAGTCCGCTGAAGTCCAAGCCCGATCTACAAAATAATGTCTCCCGGGCTAACTGTAGCACTGTCACCAACTGTCACCACCGCTATCACCAACTATACTGGCTGAAAGAGAAGCATTTTTCCGCGCCTTCTGCAAAATAAATAGCAATTCTTGTCTAAATTATCTTACCTCGTAGTCCCCGTAAGGAAATCCAGGCATTTTTTCCAACGGATCGACAATCCAGGTGTATGTTGATTATTACTCAAACAATACCGGACGTGTGGGAGCCGGACGCCGGTTCTCGTCAGCACGTGAACCGCAGAGGGAAGCTTTAATCTTAAAGGGTGCTAGCGCTTAATATTTTGTACGACGATATAAAATGCACAGGTTTTAAAAATGTGCAATTTTTAACACGGGGTTGGTGCACTTAAATAGAAGTACTTCGCTCTGTTAAGTATGATGAAATAAATTCAAAATTAAAAAAAAATGTTTTTATGCGTGTTTTTGGTTTGCCTATTTCTAGTTAACTAGAAGTGAGCCAACACATACAGTCGGCCCTCCGTAACCACGAATCGAAAATATTGGGGGGAGAAAAAAGTCAGAAAGCTCCAAAACGCAAAAACCGACAATAAACATAATACTCATAAGGAGAACACGATCGCATTCAGGCTTTCAGCATTGTTCAGCTAGGCACACTTAGTCCAAATTAGGCTACCATCTCAAAGCAGTTATAATTTAAATAAAGGCCAGACAGAGCTCCGTCTTCTTGGTGTATTTCGTCTGTCCTGTGACATAATGAGCAGCTATTGTAGAAACCAGTACCCCAGGGGTGTACCTAGAATTTCTGCGCCTCCTGACACAGTTTTTGCTACCAGGTGGCTTGAGAATCTCGATAAAGCTTTCCAAAGTCCTGGACGATCTAGGAAAACTGGGAAACCAGTAGAAGGTGGGGAATGGTTTCAGAACCCATGTGATAGAATAGAATAGAATATTACTTTTATTGTCATTCAGAACATACACCGGTTAGTGCACATCAGAACGAAATTTCGTTGCATTTGCTCACCATCGGCCTAGCAGAGTGTGTTAATACTAGAAAAACTTGGAAGTGGAACCAACATAAAAATATATTAACCGCAGTATAGCAGCAAAAACCAGTGTACATCACCGTATGGGTTATAGTGCAAGACATGAAGTGCTGAAAGTTCTTGAAAAAGTGACATGTGCATGGATGGCAAGACTGTACACCCAGAACATCATGGTAACAGTCAACACCTGCAGAGTACTCCCACACATCCCAATTACCCCAGTTTAGTTCACTAGGTCAATAGATAATCTTCTGTAAACTTCACCAATCCCGCTAATTAGATAAATCATTAAAATACCTGACCTCTCTGGCACCCCAAACTTTAACATTTCTTCCGCCCCTCAGACCAATAATGCTAAAATATATTACATGGCCTACCTGTATTACACCTGAATCCCCTCATTCTGGTAAAGTGCTTGAATCTTAACGCAGAAAATTATTTAAAATACATTCAAATCCCTCAGCCATCTACATACAACACTGTAGACAACAGGAAATTAGCTTCCATCTCAGTCTACAAGTCAAATGATTCTGTGTTATTTTTATGACTACAGCTCTGTACTCAAGAAAATGGATAGTTGGATAGATCTTTGATAATCCTTTATAAGGCAAAAATATCCTCTGAATATTTCTTAATGGGCAAGTTGCCTTTGTCGGTTTTGAGATGACCTAATGACCCAAAGCCAGGCTCACTCATCATATGTCACAGTGTTGGGAAGCAACATTCACTCAGTCCTCATGTAATCCAACGAAGAACTTTGGTTAAGTTGCCAAAGCTCACGAAGTCCACAAAAATTCGCAAAAACGTTTCCAGTGGACTGACTGAGTATGAGACACACATCTGTACATTGATAATATACAGTGATAATGAAAGTAAACCAATAGAAGTGGGAAAAGTGAAAAAGTGATATCCTCAAATCAAGGGTGCAGATGGAGGAAATATCGGAAGAGGGAACTCCGTCCACGCAAAATGTTAATCTGCGCGGCATCAGGTGCCGACGTGCAAGCGCACTGACTGCAGGAAAATGTGAGAACTGGTCCAAAATACTTCAGATTCAACTTACCATTTTATGTCCAGAAATGTCACATTTAAATATTTTTTATCCTTTCTGCCAACCAATGCCTTGTCATTATATCTTGCAAAACATTATGCACTGCAATGCACTGATTTTCTCAGCATTCTTAAGCTAAAATATTGGTCCATTTCACCCTAATTTTTCTTTTAGAAGTTTACAATCACCCCCCCTCCCCCCACCCCACCCCACACTAAATTAGGCACCAAAATAACGCTTGGAAAAACAAGTTTTTTTTCAGGGACTTTGTAGTAAAACCTCAATAGCGGCATCTCAAAAATCGTTAATGACTTGAAATTTGGTATCAAAATAAAACAGCCCGACAAGCCAGATGTAACCTGAACTCTACCTGCCAGTACAAACCATTTAGTGAAAGATTAATGAGTCTGTGTCAACAACCAGATCTTCAAACTTGCATAGATCAGCCATGTTATATGCAACACTCCTGGTGGGCTGTGAGCTCTGCTTTAATACGGGATGGTGGAATTTCTGTGATTTTGTACACATGCTCACGGCGCCTGCTCCTGTTTAACGATGCAAAACAAGCGTGTTCAGAGGCGGAAAGGAAAACATTGTCAACCAGAAGCAAGATGAATATTTAAGGTGGGACACGTCAGATTCCGTAGTGCAGGGGTACCCAATCTTATCCGCAAAGGGCCGGTGTGTATGCAGGTTTTTGGGATAACCTGTAGGTCAGCTGTTCAAACCCAGGTGTGAGGACTCTTTCAGCCAATCAGTCCTCTAATTAGTAATCTAATTAGGGAGTTGCAGCGTAAACCCGCATACACAGCGGCCCTTTGCGGATAAGATTGGGTACCACTGCCATAGTGTAAGGGTGTTTAATCCTTCTCATTCTGCTGTCAGGTATAATAGCTTAGTTATTGACACTGGTCTAGACATCATATAATGAGATTTCTTATTTGTACCGGATTCTTGAGTAGTTCTTTATGTAAATTTGTCTGAATAAGAGACTAAAATCAAGAAATTGTGCGAATTATGAATGGAAACATAATACATCAATTGTTCAGAGCAATAAATCATTTAAAATCAAATCTCATTTAATCTGTTTGGAATGATTGTGAAAGAAAAATGAAATGGACCCTTATTGAGCATTTGCACCAGTTTAAGAACATTGGAAAATTCTAGTTGTCCTATATCCCATCATGCTCTCCTTTGAGACATACAGACACATAGAGACAGTTGAAAGAAGAGCTTGGTGTCTGAGCATAGGGTCAGGCTATCTATCTGGGGCCCCTGGGGCATTTTTGGGGGTTAGGGGCCTCGCTTAAGGGCCCAATGGACATGGAAGTATTCTGCCCAGGACAGAATTCAAAGCTATATTTATTGTGGTCTGGTAGCAGACAACGTCCAGGGCATGTTTTCCAGCCGTCTATGAAAACGACCCAGAGGGCCCAGACTGGCTCCTGTTCTATCAGGCTGTCCTGTTACCCTCTCACTCCCCAGTCTACGGTCAGCTGTGGGGGGAATCGAGCAGGCGCCTGTCCTCACGACTGCGAGGCTGATGCCGACAGCACAGAAGCATGCCAGTGGCATTGGCTGCCTCATTTCATGAAAATAAGGGGGGATAATTAACAGTTTGAATTCAATCAGCAGTTTATTAAGCCTAATTAATTAGACCTTTAGCTAAAATAGCACACATGGGGGGGGGGGGGGGGGGGGG